ATGCTACGTAAGAATTCACCGAGAACCGTATCCGTGACCTTCTTGATCTCCGGCGTCGGGTCCTCCAATATTCTGAACAATCCATCAAGTATCTCAGGCAGAAATATAATAAAGTCCATATTGGGTACCGCATCCAGCACAGATACCCACGATATTACAAATTGTCTGCCGAATGGATTTTTCGTATAGATACGTTCGCGCAATAGAGGCATGAATCCGACTAAATCAAAGAGGCCGCTCTCTGTCACGATATCCTAAAACATGATATACGAGATATAGAATAATTCATTTGCACTTTTAATGATACAAAGTTGATAATCAGTTACCTTCATCAGTCTATCGAGTAATTCGGTAGCGTTCTTTATATTCTGCTCGGAATCGCAGGCCAATTTACTAAGAGCAGCGAAGATGTCTGTAAACTGAGGCAACACCGAGCCTCTTGCCACTTTGACCACATTGTACAGGCTCTCGCAGGCGTAGTACCTGACTCTCAGGTCGGCGTCGCAGAAGCATGCCAGGATCGGATGGATCAGATCCTCTATATACTGACCCGTATCCTTCCCGAGACCAACGGCGATCGCCGCGAGACCGATCAAGCCGCCCTTGCGCGTATGCGGATTTTGCGAAGTTGCGAAGTCTTGTCCGAGGACTTTCAGCAATCTCTTGATTTGCACGGTGTTATTGTGAGCGGCGAAATCCTTCACCATCCTGTAAAGAGATTATCAAGTTCATGAAACGATAATATAATGAGTGCACGTTAATAACCTTACTTCTCTATCTCCAAAGCAGCTGGTTTCCGTTTCTCGTACAACTTGTCATTGAGGGAACGAACGCACGCCGCGCTCAAGGGCGCGTAATCCCTCTCGGACATCATCTTCGGTGATTTACTTCAATCTCTGTTCCCAGAATTTGTTGATAATATCGCGAACAAAGTCAAAACATGTCAAAATATCAAAACGCGAACGCGCGTGCGAAGTTGCGTTCAAAAATCTATTTGTAAAGTAGAATGGCATTTGGTTGACCAATCAGGACAAAAGAAGCAACGAGTTTTTTATCCCGATTGGTCAATCAAATGCTACTTCGATGAGTGAATTTTCGAACGCAATCGCAGGAACAAGTAGCAGAGGCAGATTCAAAAGTGCTCGAAGAACGTTGAACGAGAATTATCGATCTCATATTAAAATTAAATCTTTAATTATTTCTCTTTTAATCATTCTCTCTTGTCATAAGAATTTTTAGCAAGAGTTTTTATCTGTGCACTTATCTTTTTTATACATTTTTTAAAATTTTATTTCACGAATTGTTTTTACAAGCTTTGTAAAAATCTACATATCCATCCATAAACAGATTATCGATATCGACAGTATTAAGATATTCTTCGAATTTAGAACTCATGCTATGATGTATTGATGCTTTTTTAACAGTAATTTTCTCTGGAATAGGTATAGTAGGCTTGAATGCTACACCAGTAGGGTCATATTCTGTGTAAAGTTCTTCAGGTGTTCTAAAATTAATAAAATAATTAAATACTATGGGGGGAAATGTAAAAAAATTTAATTTATAATTAACTTTTTCATGATTTTCGATCATGTATAAGTCATGTATAATTTTTTACATCTATGGATTGTTAGGCAAAATTAGTACTCACAATTTCGCAATTTCGATAGCCAAACTGCCCTCACCACTCGTAGGCACCACATACACTATATTTCTAGCGAGTTGCCGTACTACACTATGATAATGACGCTGTAACAATACATTATCATATGTCTTATTCAATCTTTTTCAACAAACATAAAGAAGTATCGTATTGATACCATACCTGTAGAGCAATAAGCTCGTACAATGCAGTACAATGCGCGTTGCAATGGTCAGGTTCTTCGATTTCGATCTGGTACTGACCGTCTCCAATGCAATCAGTGTCCAATAAAATGTGTGCCGCTTTTCCAAATTGCATGACTTGCTTTATAATACCGAGAGTCGCCAGCGTTGCATTATGTTGTAGTTGCAAAGCTTGTATGCTTATTCTTTTCACGAACGCTATCAGACGCGTCTGCGAAATCCTTTTCCGCTGATGAATGAGAATCTGCATCAATGTCTTCAGTACAATCTCAGTTTCCGCGTGCGTCCTCCCGCAATGAACTTTCAATATATTTTTATACAAATGCACATAAAATCTACACAAAAAATACACATATAGAGAATGTAATTTTTTTTATAAAGTAGTACTTATTCTATAGAAATATATAAAGCAGCACATTAAGTTATATACAAACCTGTATGGATCGATATTGAGCACTGCACCCTGGCCAGATAATATTGTAAATATACATTGGATACAATGTAATTGTTGTCTCAAACCTAAGTGATCTTCTTCTATTAATCTATCTATAACACTTACTAAGTCCTGATAGAAATCTATATTGATACAATGTGCGAATCTAAAATATACATGTAAAATATAGAAGATAGAAATTAAAAATACAAATTGATCTAATAGAGATAAAATGTCTTACTTGGCTAATCCTTCCAGACACGCAGACAATACTTTGCTATTGGGAGCTTGTTTTAGAGCTCTAAAGTATATAGTAAATATCACACTTGTAATTTCAGTAAGAATTTTAGATTTCGCCTGTTTATTTTCTTCAGCCTTTGTTTCGAGCAATTCTTTCTCTACTTCTTCCAGTTTTTTGCTCTTTTTTCTCTCCCGTCTGCTTAATGCGAGAATTCTTTGCTTATAAGACATGAGTTTTTTTTGCTTTGTTTCCTCTTCTTTTTCCTTGTCCAAATCGACATCTTTTATGCGAAGAGATAATAACACTGTTATGACTTCAGGATGCACAGAATGTTTTCTTGATTTTATGTATTGATTTAATTTTCGAACTATCTAAAATTTTATTAGCATAAATAAATATCATAACAATTCGTTAATGTTCTCATTAACATCTTAAAATATAAAATATACAGTTATATATATATAAATATACAATATATATATATATATAATTATTTCTGTTACTATAATATACTTACTGTGAGAGATAATTGACCGCGTTTGTCGTCTTTGAATATTTGAGAAATGCATTGAGCCACTCTCTCTCTTACATTGCTCTGTTTGTTATCCAAAAAAGGAAGAATATAATTAACTATGTTAACAGAGAAATTGAAGTATGGATGGGTAGTGAGAAGCTCGCACATGCATGATATAGCTATTTCACCCAATTGCATTTCTCGTTCGTTCACCCGTCGCGTATCTCCTTTCTTTTTTCTCAAAATGTTGGATATCTTTTCGAGTCTCTTTAAGTAGTTTTTATAACTGCTCAACAATGTAACTTCATAGTTTTGCAATGCAAGAGTTTCTTTTTTCACTAAAACCACAAATAAAATTTATTAGAAATTATTAAATGTGACATATAAATTATGCGATTTTATCTTCTTATAATTTTGTTATATATATATATATATATATATATATATATAGATACATACACTTTACTCCGTCTTGAGAAATCTGCATGAGACTGTAAGATGGTAGCAAATCTTTGAAGACTTCTAGAAGGGACACCATTGCTAGTTTTCTGACAGTGATGTAAACTTCTGAAGCTCTCTCATCCATCATGTCTAGAAGTATCTTAAAATTTCCAGATTTGAGTTGCGGATTTTCTAGAATACCGCTTGAAAGTATTCCTATCTTGAAACGTTTAGATCTCAATAATTCTTCACGACATGCCAAAAGTTCAATAGTAGATACTGGTTTATCAGTGCCTTGCAAGTTATTCTGCAAATTTTTAATAGTAATAAATTTTATGTGTAAGATATCTTAAATATATATTTTTTTGGATTAAATATTTTTTAGTTCTTACACATATATCTACATCCATTTCTATGTCACTATTTTCCTCCTGATTATTTTCTTCATTTTCTTTTTGGTTATCATCTGTGATTTGATCTTCTTCCTCATTTATAATTTCATTATCTTCTTCCAATACACGTTTTTCCACAAGACCACTCTGTGTTTTTATGGGAAGCATCATGCGAACCGATTTCCTGGCTGTCTCTTCCATGATTTTAGAAACATTATTTTCATATAATTCCTCTATTGCAAGATCATCCTCTGTTTTTCTTCTTTTTCTTTTACTTTGATCTTTATCTGATCTACAAAATCCAGAACAATTAATAATATGTTTTATGAAAGATCCTATTTTCTTGAAATTATATATAATCATACTCAGTTAAGCGAATTTGTTTCAATAAGTTGTAAGATTTGTTAGATATAGCTTTTTCCAAGAATTTTAAGTCATCTTCTTCAACCATATTCATCAAATCCTCTTCATGATCACTCTCTTCTTCCTCTACTGCTTCTGGACATGGTGGTGCCGATTTCTGAGGTTGCTTCTTTGGTGGTTTATGTCGTCGAGTTTTAAGTTTTCCTTGTTTTGAAAGCTTTGTCTTTATCTGATTGTTCCTTTTAATTTTACTAATTTTTGATTTTTTTAGTTTCTGTAAAATAAATAATTGCATAGGTAATGTACTTATATTGAATAAAACTTTCAGAATTTTTCATTATAAATTCAGATACATAATACAGAATTACAAATCAGTTTACTGAAAGTTAAAAGTAGATAAGAATAAAAATTTGAAAAAAAAAAATATATATATAGTTTCAAGTCAGAATTAAAAGTCGACTATAAATTATTATTAATAATGATGTAATTTTTCTACAGATAAAATGTTATATACTTGTTAATTTTTAAGAGGTTAGTATTAATTATATTCCTTAAATTAAAACATATTTAAAAATTATTAATTCTTACCCCCATATTTATAGCGGAATAGAATTATTTTCTTCTAAATTAAATTAGACTTAAATTTATAAGTATGTATATACACAGCTTTGCAATAATAAAGAATCGTAAACTAAGCTGAAGTAACGCCCACGTGCGTTCGTGTCGATCATGTGTACATAGGTTTTTTAATCTAGGGTGAAAGAGAAGCAACAACATGCCTGCAACGGCTATGCATAAGTTTATAACTTTTATAGGAACTATGTCTATATTACATGCGGCTTATTCAGCCGCACAACGTGAGTATTTGCTTTTGGTTTTCTCTCGACGCGTTACATTCTTTTTTAGGTTAAATTAATATTAATATTACAGAGAAATTATAGATTTGCTTCTGTTTTAATTGTTTTTTTCTATGTTATAATGAGATTAGTATGTAACTTTCGAGAGAGAAGATCGAAAAGAATAAAACGTAATTAAAACGAGTAGATATTATGATAAAATTTTGTTTGTAGATCGATCCTATTTGCGAATCACCGAACAGGAATTTACTACTTTGCCAATTGATGTAAGTTACAACATTTGATATTACTACTTGCTTCTTATATAAAAAACTAAAGATCATTATAGGCCTATTATATATATATTATTTGATAAACGTAATAAAAGTGTTTTTGTATGGAATATGGAATAATATATTATTAGCGTGTAATATTATTTTACTATTACAGATTTTAATTCAAGGTATAGTCAGTTTATTTATCGTTATGTACGGTGTTATGTACATTGCTGGTGATTTTAAAGAAATTCGAGCAGTTGTTGATTTGGAGAATAAATCCTGGGAAACACTGCGAAATTTACCATCCTTTCAAGTATTTAATCATCGTGGGAGATCTCTTTCGTCAGAGTATATTCCAGAATGAAATAGTTTTGAAATATTAAATTATTGAAAAATATAATGAATATATAGATTTACTTGTATTATTTGTTGAATCACATTCTTTTAGTTCTCTTAGCTAGGATTTATTAATAAAATTTATTAATATTAACTTTATTCTCTCTCATTAATATATTAAAATACATCTTTTAAAAAAACTTTTAATTTGTAAAAAATAAATATATAAAAAAAATTTATAAGAATTGTAACAACATATATATATATATATATATATTCGTACACAATAATCTTGTCAGTCATTTAATATAAGTTTTGTATATTTTTCAATTTCGTAACAGTAAAATAATACAAATAAAGAAGTCCTGATCTCATCATTAATTTTCCATCAGTTTTTTTTCCTATTTCCAAATGGTTTATTTTATAATAAAAATTAATAATGATACAATATAGAAGTGCACAATGGGGGTGCAAAAGCATCACTTTTTCTGTTTTTTCTTTTCTGCCTCTGCTTCCTTCTCCTTTTCTATTTCTGTTACATATTCACCTATAGTGTCTGTATCTAACATCTGAAAAATTATTGTAACTGTGTTAATATATAATATTTTATAGAGAGATATTTATGTCTTCAGCCAAAATATATATTTGTGCAATTTGGTAAAAATTGCAAGTGTACCTGTAGTGGCTGCCCGCGTCGCATTACTGCTATTTCCAAATTTTTTTGTCCAGATTGAACTACTTCAAGCAACGCCTTAATCGCTAGTTTTATACAACCTCTTTCTGTCGACACTTCCTCTGTAGTATAATACTTTTCCAAGAATTCGTGCACAGTTTTAGCGCTGCGTCCTGTTGCGTTCGCCTTTATGGGAAAGTAGCATTTAATATAAATGTAGCTATTAAAATAATTGTATTTTTTTATTGAAAAAAAGATATAGAAATTGATTTTATCTAGACATACCTTCCACTCATAATATATCCCTGATGGCTCTGTTTGATACAAATGTGGTATACCATCATAATCAAATCCAGTTAGGAGACAGGATATTCCAAAAGGTCTACGGCCGTTACTTTGTGTATATTTTTGTTTTAATCCTGCAAATAATAATAATTATGTGAAACTAGTACAATCGTTTTAAATAATTTTAATTTTCTGTTGATATAAATTCTAATCATACCTGCGATATACCTCGTAATATATTCCAAGGTAACAGGATCCTCTACGGTTAACTTATGACTCTGGCATTCAACTTGCGCACGGTTAATTAATACTCTTGCATCGGCAGTTAAACCTGTTAAAAAGAAGAGTAATTATCCTATCTTATATAATATAGAAAATTGATATTTGTATCAATATTGTATAGTATGTTATGTAGTACCTGCAAAAGCCATAATTACATGATCATCTAGGAGACATATTTTGCGCACTGTACGTTCTTCTTGCAATTTAGCAACAGATTTCTTCTCAACACCTAAGACTACCACATCGGCGCCACGTACACCAACCTGCCCTTACAAAAAGATTATCACACATAAGTAAGATAAAAAATAAAATACTAAATTTTAATATTAAAAATGTTATATAAAGCTGCAATTTATATCATTTATTAGATACTATCTTAATGTAATTTTTTACTATTTAAAAATGACATGGATACGTATTTTACTTGTAAAAATAGATATATGTAACATGATAGAAACGTAATATATAGTGACAGAAATATGTTGACACAAAGCTGGTCATCCTAACCTAACCTAACTCTGAGAATTCGCAAAGTCATACGCGAGGTAAACGAAATAAAATGGCTTATATAGACAAAATCTATTCGTATGGTAATAAAATAATTCCAGATAGACAGATAGATAAAAGAATGCTAGGTAGAATCTTCGAAAGCAACTCCCGAAGATAGAAAGAAGGTTATGTTGAACTTAGCGTACCGCCGTCGAGCCCTTCTTGACAGCCTCTTGAGCGTATTCCACCTGGAGGAGATGGCCGTCCGGCGAAAATACCGTGATTGCTCTGTCATATCTCGCCGACATCGTTCTGGCCGTTCGAAATAAGCACCGTTTCAAAAGAAGCTTAAAATGACTTCGCCGTTTTCCAAGCAGTCACCAAACTGCTCCGCTTTTCTCGTTTCGGCGCGCAGCATGCGCAGACACGAACATGACAACGCATTTCCCTAGCAGTGCTAGAAAGATTCACTTTTTCGCACATGCGTGACACAGCAGTGGGGGGTGGGGGATATACGTACAAAAGATGTCAGAAATACCTTCTATACTTTCGATGCTTTTTGTCTGGATGCCAAGTTCGGTATTAAATTTTGTGCTGAATAGCTGAAGGCATTGGTGTCAAATAGCTGCATGCCGACAGTTGACACTTAAACAAAAAAAAAAAAAAGAAAAGAAAGTTCGGCATTTTTAAATCGAATTTTTACATCGTGTTTAGATATTCATGCATTATGATTGTTGATTTTGAAAAGAATTAGCAATATTATTATCAAACACACAGGAGATACAAAAATTATATTACGTTCTGTTAACTTTTTTTTTTATCTTAATTGGTCGGACGGCTGTCAAATTATTATAAAATTGCTGATTTGCCTTATTGTTAGAGTCAACAATTATGATGCGTGAATATTTTAGTTACGATATGCGTTCAAAAATATCTCTAAACCGAAAATGAAACATTTCTGATATCTTCTATATAAATTACATATTATAAATTACATATTTCAAATTGTATTAAATTATATAAATTACTTAATTAATCTCATAATTGTATAATTCCGTTTTCTCTTTGCTTGATTCTTTTAATTAATTTTCTAAAAATTTTTCAATAAATAATAGCTTTTAAGAACAATCAAACAGAAGCCATACAGAATCTTCTTATACTAGCACTAAACATTACAGTTATTATTTATAAAATATGTGTAAAAAACATGTATTACACATATACATATATGTGTATGAGGGTGTTACCGCACATTATTCTTGGAAATAAATAAATATATATATTGCGAGCAATATACGGCATTTTGTTTTGTAATTATACATATAATATACGATATATTCATAGTTAAGTAGAAATTATGATAATCCACATATGAAAAATATACTTCTTAAAAAAGATTGTTGCTATTGCAATATCTGACGTTATCAGCGAACGTTTTTGTTCTTCCCTGGTTTATATGATGTATGTATGATATAATCTCTCGTTCTTCCATTCGAGGAAAAGTCTTATACAAGATTTCTCTATCTCTCTCTCTTTCTCTCTCTTTCCGAGATACTGGAAAATACAAATTGTATAGCTAAATACAAATATTTTTTTATAAAATAAAATATATTTTATATTATTATTAAATTAACAATAAAATTATTTGATTTATAATATTATCCATTGCATATTAAACGTTGTAAATAGATCCCTAAATTCTAATATTCCTTAATTTTGATTCTCTAACATTTATTTATTTTATTTATTATGTTGCGAGTTAATTTATTTCAACATGAAAATTCAATGTAAAAATAGGATGAAAATGAAATAGCTGCATTTATAATATTGTTATTGTATACATATTTTCTTAAATCATAAGTATATAACTGTGAAACGTCATGCTTCGTTTTCGAGTCGATTGATATTAATTTTTAAAAAGTTTCTCAATTTTTAATAAAATATGTTACTTATATGAGAAAATTTTTTTTTTTTACAGGAATGAAAAACACGTGCTAAATCATAGTATAAATTTAATGTATGCGAAAATTTCGAAACCGATATACATTAATCATTGTCAATATATTATCTTTTATGTTAGCATTGATGGCATTATCTCAGTATGCTTTATTATTGTCATTATTATATTTTTGTCTTGTCACATTGCAATATGTTCATTTTTAGTTAATTAATGTTACGGCTTTCAGAATTTTAAACGAATGAGTGGGGATGAATAGGCAGAAACGGTATCGTTACTCTTATAAGAGAAACGATCGGCTTAGAGAAACGTTTAGTCAAGGCTGGCCGCTCGCGCTGCGTTACATTCGTCTGTACAACATGATCGGGTCGGTATACTTTCCTTTTTATTATTCTACGAAGGTGCATACAGCAAGCAAAAAGCATGGTTGAAGTCATTATTTTTGCGCAACTCGTTACTATCTAAATGCTGCTTGACTTATAAAAAAAAAAAGAAAGTAGATTTTAACGTGCACCGTATCATGTGAAAGCATAGCTAAAAAAAAGTGAAAAATTGTTTTCGTGTATGTGATAATTGAAATTAACACTATCAGAGGTTTTTATAATTTGCAAAAGAATTGTGATGCGCTTAAGCAGTTTTATCGATATATGTGAGATGTGAAGATATTTCTGATTTACTTGAAAATGTGTTTGATGAGTTTATCATTTTATTAACACAATCCGTTTGTTATTCATTTCTAATACACATTTACCGCAATTATATATGTGATATTTTACTGTATTTAATTTGTCAATTGATATATTTTTTTAGAAACATATAACGTGTAGAATATTTGGTGTTAAACATTTGCGAACGTGAGCAAAAGACAATGCGATAACGATAAATTGGCGTGATAATATTAACGACATGGAAATTCTTAAAATTGTCCTTCACACCAAATATTTACATAATGTTACATTTGCCTTAAAGAAATAAAAACGTGCACTTGTAAATGTCTCTGTAAATATTATGAGTTAAGCTATATCGTAGTGCTTATCATAATGAATATCACAGGTTTCACGCAATCAAACATATTCTACTTTACCTTTTCTCGCAATGTTTATCGTTTTTATTTAGATAATGGGAAGAATATCTTATTTTTAATTTAAACGAATCATTCGTTGAACAAATAATTTAAATAAATATTTATTCATCTGTATACGCAAAATTATGAATTTAAACTTCTTCAAATGTTTCGGGATTATCAAATAGAAAAAAATTTTAAGAATAATAAAAATTATGTTCTTATATAATGTTTAAAAAAATAATTTTCATTATGATATCTTTATTTTTTTTCAAAAAACTCAAAGAAATATAATAATTAATAATCTTCTGTAAAAAAAGAGAAAGATTGTAATGACAGAGAATGAGATCCATAGATAGACATTGTATGCGCTAATCTTTTGAGCTATTAGCAATAGTGCAATCGCGTGCAATTAAGATGCTGTACGCCGCAATCGCGTGTAGAACGTCATCTTCACGTGCGTGTAAATATTAAAAAATTATTTATTGCAATGTCTTAAAATAGAGATAATGAAAGAAAAATGTTTAAAGGATATTGTCATTGAAGGCTATTTAATCAATTAACTGGTAATGACGCATATATGCGCCTAAAATTTTCGTGCCAAAATTGGTAATGACGTATATATGCGCACATTGTATAACTCCGATAAATTTCGATGGATCTGGATAAAACTTGGTATCCTAGAGTTCTTTGGATCGCTGAATCAGAATCTGAGCTCAGGGATTACAAATTCGTCATCGTTCAGTTAATATGGCGCCCGAAAATGCTCTCTTTGAACGGTTTTCGAGACGGTGTGAGCCGAAGTACAGCTCGAAAGCGAAAAAAATACCTCCGCTATTAGCTGGTGATTAAGAAATCACGATCCCAGAGTATGCCACGTAGAGGCTGCGATAGGATTTTACACTCCGTTTTTTTTAATAGCTTTTTTTAATTAAAAATTTTTTTTAAATATTTTTTTTGAGATTTTGTGTTAATTTTGTGTCAAGTCCGCCGACTGGACTAGTTTCTGAATTCTAACAGATGTTGCGAAAAATTAGGTTCTTTTTGGACGTAGGGTTTCAGGGATGCGCGATATCAAAATTACGACTCCGGACTCGAAATCAGCAACCTCAAAAACGATTGTACCGATTTTTGAAACGTAATCTTACCAGTTTTAGCACGGAAAACGGCTCAAAAGATTACTAGTTAACTGGATAACTTCGCATTTTCCCGGAAGTGTTGCGTATTGCGTTTTGTACAATAATACTTATTTATTGCATTGACGCTTATATAGTAAAGTTAACTAATGGCTAGTTATAGATAAAGAAACATTTACAATTTATTTGCATATAGTGCTATTATTAGTATATCTTTGTACCAGGAATAAATTTACTAACAAAGTTTAAAAAGGAAAGATATATTTTCAAGAAAATCCATAAATTTTTGTTTAATCTATTAATCAAAATTAAAAATTAAAAAATTTTTTAATAATAAAAATAATATTTATATATAATTAATTCTCGTTTTATTATCTTCTTATCTAAAATATATCAGTTGGAATATATCATAAGAATGAAATGAATGAATCATGTTATAATATACAAAATAAAAGTCACACTTGTAATTAGCCAGATATCTATAATTGCGTGAAGCATTCAATTCAAAATCACAGAAATGTTTGAGTTGCGATAAAACACAGTACGTTTCTCTATTAAACATTTCCTTAATAATGCATCACAACATGCGGTAAATACATCTTAGCATCTCCAATATTATCGAGTAATATATTTCTACAAATCACATACATGCTTATCTAAAAAAACAATTCTGCTTCAGAAGGTTAGCATTGTCCGATAACATTACTTAACTACGACTAAAGATATTTAATTCGCATTTATAAGATTATGATTGATAAAATCAGAGGTTTTCTTTATCTATACGAAACACATTTACTGCTTAATTCTCTTACTTCATATCTTTTTATGGTACATTTATATAGAAATCGATGAATAGAGATAAAGAGCTTTTAACAGTATGTTTATATGTGCTATCGTATGTGTGTGTGTATATGATAATCAATTATTCAGTAAAAAAACGCGCAAATTATATATTATGTACAGATATATATAAATTAATCAAATCTCGCAGATTGATTGCGAAACTTGATTGATTACGGAAATGCGTTTTTTTGTATTTTTCATAATTTGGGAGTTAGTAATTTAGATTATACATCATGAAATTAATAAAAACTTTTTAGAGACATAGCTCAATGCTATGCTTGTAAGCTGCGAATTTATTGAATGAAGTATACATGTGTTACGCAATCTCTCAGCGAATCGCATAGTGAATGTCTATGGTATATACATCTGCGATTACACAATGATGATAACTGGATCACATTCTTGAATTTACACCGGCAATAAAGGTGACAGT